CACCAGGTACCAGGTTGTGTCTCACACTCAATCAGGTGTGAACGACCACCCTTGTCCAATGAGACTGATGAACAAGCTTGGTGGCCTTGGGGTGTCATCCTAAGCCCCCAGGACTTCACAGCCTGAATTGTTAACCCCTTAACTGCCCTGTGTGAAATATATGCCTGGAACTCTAGATGCAAACTGCAGGGGATCCATGAAAAACTGATCGTCCACGCACCACTGACAAGATAAAAAGGTCTCGAGCAGGAAAGGGATTAACATATTCTGGAAAGTTCATTGGCGATCTGCCTCCAACTAATATCGCTTCCATTCATTAAGCACACACTCTCTGCTAGGCTTTTTTTTTTTTTTTTTTAATTTAAAATATTTTTATTGATTTCAGAGAGGAAGGGAGAGGGAGAGATAGAAACATCAACGATGAGAGAGAATCATTGATTGGTTGCCTCCTGCACACCCCCTACTGGGGATGGAGCCCGCAACCTGGAATCGAACCCGGGACCCTTCAGTCCACAGGCCGGCGCTCTATCCACTGAGCCACACCAGCTGAGGCTAGGCTTCATTTTAGATACTTGGCACGAATGACTTCATTTCAATTCTCACAAAAGTCCTGCGAGGCAGGCCTATTATCATTCCCTTTTATCTTAAGAAAACCACGGCACAGAGGGGTTCCCAAACCTGCCCAAGGTCCCCAAGTAACAAGCAGTCACTGGATTATGACTAGAAAGCCGTGTTCTTAAACTTGACTGTTATGTGCTCACTGGCCACCTGGTAAATCAAAATGTGCAGAGTTGAAATCTAAATATCATTACAAGACAAAAAGCAAGGGATGGCCCAAGAAGCAAAGGAAGGCCGGCATCTGTGTGGCCCTCTCTTTCGCAGGCATTTGAAACATTATGTCATGTAAGTCTCCAATCTTACAAGGCAGACACTGCCCCCACTTTACAGATAAGGACAGGGAGGCTAAAGGTTAATGGTCCAAGTTCACAGGGCTGCTACGAGGCAGACCCACATTTAAACTTGGATTCATGTGGGCTGAGAGCCCAGACTTCTGTAATCATTTTTATTAGCATCTAATGTCTTGTCTTTTTTATGTGTCTCCTGAGTATCAGTACAAATCCTATTTTTTTTAAAAAAAAAACACAAAAACCTATTATGACTTGTAGTTGGAAGAAGGTGAAATGTGTGTGTATTTGCCAAAACCCTCACAAACGTGTCTGTCCCCATCCTGGAGCCCCCTGCACCCCCACTTTGTGTCTGACTCACATTCCTGCAGACCTGCTTCATGTGGACGTTCTGCTTCGTGGCCTCAAGTTTCAAAAAGGAAATCTGGTTGGCAAACAAGCCCTAGGCCCCAACGCCAGCTGCCTGGCCCCTTGACAATGAACAATGGATGTGGAATGTCCGCTCCGCATACACTCCGGGGGAGTTGGCTACCCAGCTCATCAGAGCAAGCCCAGGGCACCCCATTGCATCAGCACTGGCCCTGACGGATGAATATGCCCACTGTGGGGGCAGTGCCTGCCACGCAGAGGGGAAAACTCCAAGCAGACTGTTTTCTTTTCCCCTTTTTAAAAAATCACATCACATGATTCCTTCACTCTTACATGAAATATCCTGCTGTGACGAGGAACAAGACCAGACTGTCTTGGGATCAGGAAAGCTAACCAGCATGGCTAACGGTTCCTAGAAGGGACCAGGGGGTAGTGATTAGTCCTGCTGACGGCCATGCATCTGATGTGCATTTTATGCCACGTTTGTTAAATAAAAAGAAAGAAATGAAGTCTCAATATACCTTTATTTCTAACAGGAGGGTCAACACTCTCCCACTGCACCCCCCAGAGAGCACAGTTATTTCAGCCCGAATGGCACTTACCTTTCGGCCCTGGATAAACAAACTGGGCATGCTCAGGGGGTCTTTTCCCATCCCTCCACTCCTGTAACTCTATGTTATCATGGAACCTCCTTAGGGAAACAGAGGGATTAGAGGCAGGAATGTCACTTCATACCTGACAGTCAGACAGTCCTGGTTCCAGCCCTGGCTGTGACTCGGCCATCGCCCGGCCAGGTGATCTCAAACAAGTCTCCACGTGGCACCTGCAAGCCCTGGCAGCATCTTTGTGCAAATGAGGAAAAGTGTCCCTGTGGGCAAGAGGCAGCACTGCCAGCACCACCTCAGCAAGGGTGACCCCAGCTGGACAGGCCCCCGGCGGGGCACAACCTCACGACCTGTGTCTCTATTTCAATTTGTCAGTTGTGAAGTGGAACAGGTAATAGTTCTCTGCACTGATGAGGCTGAGAGGACATCCAGAACATTATATGAATCCGTCTGTTAATACGAGATTTCTGCTGTTCTGGTTCAATTCCACCTCACTTCCCGAGGCCTCCATATGCTTCTAATGAAAAGCACGGATACCATTTACCTCTCTGAGATTACCCGCATTCCCACACTCAGACAACCACCCCTTCCAGACTTGCATCAAAAAGCAAGGCGGGTGCCCTGGCCGTGTAGCTCCGTTAGTTGGGCGTCATCCCATGCACTGGAAGGTTGCCAGTTCAATTCCTGGTCGGGATATATGGCTGGGTCTTGAGCTTGATCCCGGGCAGGGGGCATGCAGGGGGCAACTGATCAATGTTTCTCACATTGATATTTCTACCTCTCACTTCTCTCTCTCTGAAAATCAATAAAAAGTCTTAAAAGGAAAAAAAAGCAGGGCAGGCTTTGTAAGTGTGAAGCCTGTGCAGTTACACAGGGCCCCACACTCAGAAGGGCCTGGCACCTTTGTTTAATACTCAGACGTCACTGTCTTAGAATTTTTAATCATTTCTGAACAAAGAGCCTTACATTTTCATTCTGCACTGAGCCCCACAAATTACGTCGCTGGTCCTGCCAACACGTCTTCGGAAGCACCAGATAGCTTCCTTATATTATACTCCACAGAAGATTTGGAAGGGAAACTGGGATATGTCACTCCTCTGCTGGACACGAAGGCCCCGGTCACAGAGTGTGAGGCGGGATGGCGCGCTGGGCCCAAGAGCATGGGCCTTAAGAGACACGTTGAGCTGGACGCAAACCTGCCTCCCGCAGACCTCAGACTAATTCCCTAATCTGTCTGAACCCAGCTCTCCTGGTCTGTAAAGCAGATTCCTAAGGCCCACTCCTCCCTGTGAATAATGAAGAAAGGTCTGTAAATGAAGACATTGTCTGGCACGTGGCAGGTGCTCAACAAATGGAAGGTCCCCTCCTGACTTGTGTTGGTGACACCTACTTCAGGATGGGCCACACACTGACCGTCCGGAGGCAGTGGGGCGCCAGGTGGCCATGGAGATCCCTTTGGCTCTAGGATGACACGATTCTCCATTAACCAAGGCCTAGATGCCAGCCCTCCCCCAGTCCCTGGCTATTACTCAGGACACCTTTGATTGCAAGGGTGGAAACTCGTTATTAACTTAAGAGAAAGTGGTAGTTTGCTACCTAATGAAACTGGGAAGTACAAGGGTCTCTAGGCAATGCTGTATCTGAGGATTTATACAATGTTACTCAATCTCTCTCTCTTCTCTTCTCTTCTCTTCTCTTCTCTTCTCTTCTCTCTCTTCTCTCTCTCTCTCTCTCTCTCTCTCTCTCTCTCTCTCTCTCTCCCCCCTCCCAACCCCCATATTTTTACTCTTATTACCTCTGCTTTGCTTTGCTTCATTCTGAACTCATGTTCCCTTCATGTAGTGGACAGTGTGGATGCCAGCAGCCCTAGACCCACACTCTCTAGCTTAGCAAGCCCAGTGGGGACAGACGTATCTCTCTCAATATCTATATCGCAACCAAGGGAAAGACTCTAATTAATGCCGCTTGGATTACCCACTCCTGAACGAGCCACAACTGCCAGAGTGACAGGGTTTGTGCCCAACCAGGGGCAAGACAATGGGGCCCAAGCCCTACAACTGACAGTCCAATGAAACCACGTGAACTAGAGATGCCAGACAGATAAAGGCAACGTGACCACTGGGCCTTACGTGTGCACTATGCATTCCCAATAGGAGCCACAGGACATGAAGGGAGAGAGAGGGGAATCGGTGGTGTAGATGGAGCCCTTAAGCTCGCCTTCACCGAAGGATGGGAAACAGTGACACCTCCTCAAAGAGAGTCCCTGTGAGGAAAGACCAAGCACTGAGAAATGCAGGGTGTGTTCAAAGCTACTAGTTGCATAACTGCAATTAACTTTTAACATTTTTATAGTGATGTATTTACTTTCATGTTTATCTTTTGTTTAGGCAACCGATACTGGTTTTGCATCTTAGTGCTAATAGAAGTTTCCTTCTTAAAATAACTTTTAAGTAAAAACAAAGTGGGTCGGTTGAAACAAAAATAGTAAGCAAATAATAATGTAATAATGTAGAATTAAGTAGCTGTGGGCAAATCAGTGCATGTATTATGCCAATGACTGAAGTATGAGAAACATTAGCTTAGTGTATACATAGAACTTTCTTTCCCCAAGGAGCAGTAAAAACCAGTAACTATGCTATGGCTGGTCTATATGGTACCTCTGCTTAACTAAACATTGTCTTTCTTTGTGTGAATGGCAAAGCTTTACCCCAGGCCACCAAGTGGATCTGGAATAAGATCCTAGAGTCCTCAGCTTCTGGGTGGCAACACCTATTCCCTAGACATACGGCAAAAGGGGGAACCACCATTGCAGGACGTTGGCCCACTGCATTACACTCTGTTTCAGAGACAGTCACACAAAGGTAGCGTTGATATGAAAATCACTCAGCTCAGAGCTGGCCAGGCTGATTGTCTTTGAGAACAAAGGGGCCTATTCTCCATGGCTTTCCAAGGCCAGCTGGTCCCAAGGAGTACCAGCCATCTCTCTGGGGCCAGAGTATCCCCGCCTGATTTCCACATACACCCACATGTAAAGTGGCAGTTGGTCCCTCATTTGCATACATGCTTGCTCTTCTAATGAGCTACCAATTTTGGCCACAGATAATTTAAGAATGCCTGTTATTATCCACTCTCCTGTTCAATTATTTTCTGCAGGCCAAAGAGAGAAGTCATCAGGGTTTTGATGTGAATCGAGACGCCAAAAAGCTGAACAAAGCCTGCAAAGGAATGGGTATGGAATGTATTTTGTTTGCTAATTTACTTTTGAAGTTGATTAAATTTGATCTCATGTCCAACTTTCCCATGATTTTAGGAAGATGACTTCCCAGTTAACTTGTATCCTCTAGGCTAACCCAAGTTGATTACTTCTAAGGTTCTCTATAAAAGATTCCAAAGTTATAATCGGATCTTATTGCTTTTCAGAATTCGATATAACAGTTAGAAATTGGATAGTACAACATTTAATTTGCCCTGGAGGTGGAAGAAAATTTAGGAGAAGTATAGTTCATGAAGGCTAATGTTATCTAAACCCCTCGTATCCCTTTATTGCCCAAGAAATGTTGGGAGGACTCAAAGGAGTTGAGGTTGGAAAAGATCTGAAAGGGAAGTGGTAGAAGAGATTTCTCCATAGTAAGTATTCTTAAATAAATCAGAGAGAGAGAGAGAGAGAGAGAGAGAGAGAGAGAGAGAGAGAGAGAGAGAGAGGGAGAGGGAGAGGGAGAGGGAGAGGGAGAGGGGGGAGAGAGAGAGAAAGAGAGAGAGAGAGAGAGGAGAGGGAGAGGGAGAGGAGAGGGAGAGGGAGAGGGAGAGGGAGAGGGGGGAGAGAGAGAGAAAGAGAGAGAGAGAGAGAGAGAGAGAGAGAGAGAGAGAGAGAGAGAGAGAACTGGAAATGAAGGATGTCAACCAGGTTGCTTGGTTTGGGGCATCAGAGGAAAGCTCAGCAGTAGCTGCCCCTAGCTTATATCCAGACCTGGCCAATCTTATGTTTGAACAACTGTCGGGAGATATATTTGCCTGGAAGGGGCAGCATGTTTATAGATCTGAGTTTTGCAGAGTGGCTGAGCCAGCCTCACAGATGCTTCCCTGCTGCCTCGTGAGTGAGGTCCTAACACCTGGATGTGGGTTGGAACCAAGAGCTGAAGTGGGTGTGGGAATGATTCAGCTGTGGTTAAAGATAAATCCCCACATGCTCAGCCCACCATGCGGGTGTAGTTCAGTAAGCACAGGTGGGACACCTACTGAATGGCAAAGTCATGCACTGTTCTCTCCCCCCTTTTGGATGTGCTTGGATGTGGCCACAAGGTGGGACCACTCTTGTGTTGGTCACGGTTGTAGAGCACCTTCTAAGTGCCAAGTGCCAAGCTGGGTAGTGCATGTCCATCATCTTGTATAATCCTCCCAACAACCCTGTAAAGTTGTATTGTAATAATGTAACATGAGAATGCCGAGGCGCAGAGGTTAATTATCTTGCTCAAGACCAAAGTTATGAAATGAGGGTGGGCGAACAGAAACTAGGGCTATCTTGGAAAGCTATTATTTGGTTGAAAGTCTAGCATTCCAACCTTTACCAAGAAGCACAAGCCAAAGCAAAATTGTATCATTGGCAAAAGTTGTCAGCAAGGCCATGCACCCATCTCCTTGATATACCATCCCTACTAGGGCTGGACTTAATACTCAGACGTCACTGTTGTCCAGGGCCTTGTTGTCCAACAACCACAAAGGTGAGCCTTGTGGGTCATTTAAATTTTTTGAGAAGCCAGATTTTAAAAGAAAAAATTGAAATTAACTTGAATTATATATTTTAGTCAATACTGTATCAAACATATTTCAGCAATCAATATAAAAATTATTAATGAGATATTTGAAAACCCTTTTTTCACATTAAGTCTTCAAAATGTGATATGTATTCTACACTCACAGAACATCACAACTTGGACCAGCCACAGCTTAAGTCCTCAACAGCCACATGTTACCACTGTATTGAGTAGAGCAGGTCTAGGGGCCCCATAATTCAAAAGATTATGTGCACGTTCTACCCACTCACCATCTACTCAATTCAAAATAACAAGAATGCTATGCCACAAAATAATATTTGATTTTTTCAAAGAGCAACATGAAACTTAGAGATTTCCTTGTTGTTTTTTGGTGTCTCTCCTCACCTTTCCTAAGTAGTGACTGGTCTGGGTCCTGGGGGGTGGGGGGAACAGCCCCTGACTGTCCCCCCAGTGCTGATGCTCTTTGTCAGGCTTTCCTCTCAGGCCTCTGTGTCCCTCTGCGGCCCTCATCCCAGCAGGGCCCTTCTGAAGACAATGCCTCAATCCTGAGAGTGTATGGACCCCAGCATAAAAGGATGGCTGCCATTCTCCCTCCCGGAAACAGAAAGAGGATCTTAGAGAGGAAAGCTGCCATGGAGATGTTCTTAGTCCCCAGCTGCTCAAACCTAATGTCCTTTTAGTCTTCGTTCATATGCAGGCGCTGACTGGGGGGACCTGAGGGGTTTCAGAGACTGTCCATTTCCAGGGAGCTCCCTGGTGATGCTGATGCAGCAGGTCCCGGAACCTCACTTTGGGGAGCGAGGTCTAGCCCATGTGAGGTCCACGGAGAGGAAGCAATGCTGCTCAAGCCACGCAGGAGCCGACCTTGCCACCCTGAGCCCAGGCTCTCCCCTCTCCCCCCCAGGCATGGGGATGAACTTTGGACCTGGATTTGAGCTACTGCTCTGCCACTTACTGGTGCCCTAACCTTCGTTGTCTCGTCTACAACATGGGGCTAATATTGCCTCCGCACAGGGAGGTGCTGAGGATAAAGCAGGCAGCACAGGGCCCAGCACCTCACTGGCCCTCACTATATGCTCATTTCCTCCTTTTCAACCATATGCTCAGATCCAAAGTCCACACAAAGGTGATTAGGTTAGTATGAGCAGCGAAGAGGCCCACCCTTGTGAGGTCCTTATTCTCTATGGCTGAGGGTACACCAGGTTCAATGGTGCCCATTCCCTCCTCCTCCAAAAACATGTCCCCCTGGAAACGGAGAGATGAACTTATTTGGGAAAAGGGTCCTTGCATATGTAATTAAGGATTTTGAGATGAGGTCATCCTGGATTACCTGGGTGGTCCCTAAATCCTTTGACAAGTGTCTTTAAAGGAGACAGAAGAGAAGACCCAGGGAGAAGGCCAAGTGAAGACAGGCAGCGATGCAGACACAAACCAAGAAACAGTAGGTTTGCCTGCCGCCTCCAGAGCCTCTGAGGGGAGTGAGGCCCTGCTGTTGTTTTAAGCCCCCAAGTTTGTGGAAATTAATACGGAGCCAGGAAACTAATCCAGTGGGCAAGTAGAAAATAATGACCCTCCCAGGCAGGTAAAATCCTCCTTCATTCGTGCTTCATTCCCTGCACCTCCATTTCCAAAGGAGAAATTGGAGGGACTGGAAAGTCTACTGGTGTTTTTGTTGTTAATCCTCACTCGAGGATATTTTTCCATTGACTTTTAGGGAGAGTGGAAGCGAGAGGGAAAGACAGAGAGAAACCTCGATGTGAGAGAAACACATTGATTGGCTGCCTCCTGCATGAGCCCTGACTAGGGCCCTGGCCGGGGAGGAGCCTGCAATCAAAGGACATGCCCTTGACCGGAATCGAACCCGGGACCCTTTGGTCCGCAGGCCGACACTCTATCCACTGAGCCAAACCGGCTAGGGTGCCCACTGGCCCTTGGGCACCAAAGATGGGGCTGCAGCCCCAGGCTCGGCGAGGCAGGAAAGCTGAGCTGCTGCCCCTGGCTCACTGCGGGGCTCACTCATCTGGCACATGGGCCCCTGGTGTGAAGCAAAGGGCACTTCAAACCCAGTGACCTTCATCCTGCTGAAACTCAGCTCTGTATCTTCCCAGAAAATTACTGGGAAAGCAAAAGCCAGGAGGCCCTCCCGAGGCTGCTGGTCACCCTCTCCTGACCTCTGCTGTGTAATTACTCGACAGTGTCCCATGCAGTCAGGGCTGAGGTTCCTTCTTGTCGCGTATTTTTAAAAGTCTTTCCCAGAACCACTGGGGACTGGCCCCAGTGCCTCAAACCATTGTAAATGTTTACAGGAAATCGTTGGGCAGCACAGACTGCTTAGATGACACGCATATTGTGAAATGTAAGATGAGGTCACTGTTCAGTTAATCCCTTCTTGGGTAGTGGGAACGGCTCCCAGGATAAACCTGAGATCCAGACTCAAGGGGCTTGAGGGAAATCTAGTCATTTCCACGCCTCCCCCACGCCTCCCTCCCCGCGCCTCCCCACGCCTCCCCACGTCTCCCCACGTATCCCCACACCTCCAGGCGGTTGCTGAGCCATCTCCGGTCTGCTTTGCTCTTTGATTTCTCTTTGTAAAGCATTTCAGGAAGGAAAGTCTAAGTGACATTACTTTTTACATTTTAACTCCATTTTCCTGAATTATGCAGGTATAGGTTGACTATGGCATCAGAGTAGAGGGCTTCTCATTGGTCCCTGTTACATACAGTCCACCTGAGAAGCACATGCAGCCGACACCAATGCAGAGACAAGGTTCGGTGGAATTCAGTGCAAACTTCTCCATTCATTCATTCATTCATTCATTCATTCATACATGTATGCATGCATTTGAACATTCGTTCACTCATCAAGTCCTCCGGGAAATACTGAGAGCTTCTCTGTGAAAGTGGCAGCGAGCAGAACCCCCCAGTCCATGGAACTTGCACAGTGGCGTGGTAGACAGGACAGAGAAGAACAGGCCACGGGAGCCAGTGAGTTGAGTCCTACAGGAGGAGTAGGAGTGAACGTGATGGTCAAAGATAAAGATGTTCCGGGTAGAGGGAACAGCCCATGCAACGCCCAGGGGTGAGAAAGTGCTGCTTGTACTAGAAGCTGCAAGTGATCCATAGAATTGATGGAAGGGAGGCCTGGGAGCAGGTGAGTGGGGAGGGAGCAGGCTTAGAGAGGCAAGTAGGAACTAATCCAAAAGGCTTCATGTGCCCCACTGACTAGTTGAGACTGGATTATGGATTTAAAGGGGCCTGTATTGAAAGGTGTGACGAAGAGGCTGACCTGTTCATCAGAAAGGTCATTCTGGGGATAGGGGACGCTGATTGGAAAAGCGGAGAGTAAGCAGGAAACCCGTACGGGCGTCATTAGTTCTGCTGAGCCATGTGCCAGAGGTGAAGATGGACAGAAATGGCTGCACCCGAGCAGTGAGGTAGTGAGGTGTTAGTGGTGACTAATTGGATGTGGGGTGAGGGAAAACGGGAAGCTAGGGATGAGCCCCAGATTCCTGGTTGCCACAATACAGCGAAGGGGCCACCTGGGAGATAGGAAGGCTCTTTCCCGGGATGACAAGCGTAAAGGTCCAGGCTTGAGATACGGGTGCCCTAGACCCAGGCAAGAGCAGCGCACATGGAAAGAAAGGGGTGGATTCACGAGATTTTTAAAGAAATCCCTCTTGAGGTGAGATTTCTGGCACTCAGAAGTTAAAAAAATGTCACAGAGGAAGTAACTGGATACACATTACGTAGGTAATGTTACAGGAGGAAATGAAGAGGAACAACATAAATAACAGTGTTGGGACTGAACCAGAATGAGGCAGGCAATTCACCCCTACTGTTTTTATAAGTGAGCTCATCCTAGAATGTTCTGTTTCTCTAATTGAAATAAAAAAGCTAGGTCTCCCCAGAATTGTAAAGTGGAACTAATCCTTAAGACTAAGGGAATGGCCCATCACCATGCTGAATTTAGAACATTTTCATCACCTCTAAAAGAAACGTTCCACTCTTCAGCTTTCAGTCCCCCACCCAACACAGCCAGCCACTAGCCTACTGTTTGTCTCTATAGATTTTCCTATTCTGGACTTCCACATGAATGGAATCATTTAACGTGGTCTCCTGAGATTGGCTTCTTTCATTTAGCATAATGTTTCCAAGGCTCATTCATATTGTGGCTGGTATTGGTACTTCATTCCTTTTCCTGGCTAAATAATATTCCGTTGTATAGCTATACCACATTTTGTTTATCCATTTGTCTACTGATGGACATTCTGGTTGTTTCCATCTTTTGGCTATTATGAATGATGCTGCAATAAACATTTGTGTACACGTTTTGTATGGACATTTGTTTTCATTTCTCGAGTGTATACTTAGGAGTGAAATTAAGGAATAGGCCACACACTCTTCCTTTTACCACCACAATGCCTAGCACCGTGCTTCATGCAGTGTAAGGCCTCCACGGATATTTGTCAAGCGAGTGAAAAGAATACCATTCTCCACAAGACATTAAAGCTAAAGGGTCCCTCTGGGTTCCACCACAGCCTCTGACCACGACCCTGGCTTCCTCACACTTGACTACAATAAATCTCCATCTTGTTTCTTGTTCACATTTACTTTGCTTCTCTCTCCTGACCTTTAGGAACTGATGAAGCGACCATCATTGAAATCTTATCAAGCAGGACATCGAATGAGAGGCAACAAATAAAGCAAAAGTACAAGGCAACGTATGGCAAGGTGAGTCCAAGGGTCCGCGCAAGCATGCATACGGCCTGGGCCTTGACGTCTCTGCCTCCTCGATGTTCCCCAGGTAGCAGAGAGTGTCTTTACAGCTTCACTGAATTATCCCAAGAGGAAAAATGAAATAACTATTTAAAACTTGAATTGACTTCAGAAAAACTGAAATTGCCTCGTTAACTTAATGGCCCGTAAAACCAGTATTCTCTAACTCATTTTTTTTTTTAAATTGACTTCATTTTTCTATTAATCCCTCTGCCATTTTCTCCACTCATTTGGGCTAATTCCACATATTAACTTACAGATAGGCCAGTGATTTGAAAATCAGTTTTCACAAGTGGGTCTTTATCGAAGAATTCTTCATTTTTTTGGGCTGTCTTCAAGAATGACACATCTTTCATAAGTGATGGGTACAGAAAACTAAAAAAAGCCACCAAAACATTTCTTTCATTTTGTTGTTGTTGATGGTGTTATGTATAGAAATCGCTAAGTATGCATTAGGCTTTGTATTTTATATTACTATATAATGAACACAATTTAACCTTTTCTTAATGTCATTAGAATGATCAGTATGCAAAGTGAGTGTTAATTATTATAATGTATTCTAATTCACATTTATGAAACCCCTATAGTTTCAATCACTCTTTATAAACAGACATACCGAGAGATGGATTTTTCTGACTAATTTGACATTGGGCTGGCAACGAACCCTTTAGTCTTTGGTCCCCTCACATATAGAAGGACAATGATAATTACCTCCCTTCTCAGGTTCTGGGCGAATCAAGCAGGAGAATGCCAGCACATAGCAGCAAAGGGGAGCTATGCTGGGCATGAATGTTCCCGTTTTACAGAGAGGAGGAATGGAGCTCATTTGTTTACATGACTTATGCAAAATCACACGCAAGTAAGAGAAAGAACCAGGACTCAGATCCAGGACCGCGGGGCCAGCACTCCCTCCTGGAGAACCCGTCGCCATGAGACAGCTGTTTGTTGATACACCAGGTGGCCCCAATGGCTGTGTTTCTACCGTCTTTCTGTATCTCTCTTCACACTCAGGCTTGACAATGTCATTCACTGATAACACTGCAGTTCGGCTGCATTTAATGGGACTGAATGACGTTGAGCCATCATCCATGCCAGCCCCTCTAACTGCAGCAGCCCCTCAAGTGCCATGTCTATTCCTATGGTAGCGATATGGAAAGTCCGACGCAGGCTTCTTCAGTTTTACTGTGAAATAAGAGTCAGTGTGTTTGAAGTGAGGGCCTCGGGGCTCTGGTAAAGATAAAGGGCGCATGCTCTGGCACAAAGCTTTGCAATTCCAGACAGCGGGACTTCCAGAGACGTGATCTAGAATTACAGCATCGCGAAGCTAGAAGACGTTAGAGACGAACAAACCGAAGTCCCCCGGCCAGCTGAGCTCAGAGAGAACACCCGTCCCCAGGTGACATGACTGGCTAGCTGGAGAACCAGGGTTAGGGCCGAGGCACCCTGAGCCGACTTCCGTGTCCAAGCAGAATGTAAACACACGAGGACTTGTTTTCATGCCTGTGGCTTGTCAGAATAGGCAGCCGGGTTTCTTTGCATTTTTATATACAGCAGCCCCAGCCACAGCGGGCACATTCCACAACCTTCAGAGGATGCCTGAATCTGCAGATAGTTCTGAACCCTAATATATCCTGTTTGTTCCTATCCATACACATCTATGCTAAAGCTTAATTTATAGATGAGGCACAGGAAGAGAGTAACAGTAACTGACAATAAAACAGAACAATTATAACACTATGTAATAAATAAGAGACATCGTAAATCAATAAGACAAGCTTAAAACATTAGAGTAACATATCAAAGTTTTTTTAAGTGATTGTATCACAACTGTATAGACATCATTTTTATGGTCTTTTGCGTAGCAAGCCTCCATGAAAATCAGGGGCAATAATCTATAATTATAAAAGTGTAATATGCTATTTAGACTGGATGTCCTTCTGGACTTCCTTCCTTTCAGACAAAGTTGCAATGAGTGGGGGCCACGGCGGCAGTGGGCGGAGGTGCATGAATTTCGTGCATCAGGCCTCTAGTACTATAATACAAGTTATGGGGGTGTGGCATTATTAAGTAAAATAAGGGTGACTTGAACACAAGTACTGTGATACCTTGACAGCTGATCTGATAATCCAAACATCAACTACTGTAAGTGTTCCTTTCAGGATTTCACAAGAAAACCAGTGACCAGACATCCGGTTTGCCCAAGAAGGTCCCTGTTTAGTCTTATTTTCTTCTGAAATTATCCTTTTCACTTTCAAACATTCCCATTTGGGTGACAAAAGATCTGCTCCCCCTAGAAATTACAAGCCTGTATTTTAGTCCGTTCTGGCTGAGTGTCTGGGGGTGAGTCCTTCATCTTTTTGAGGTCAGTAAATGGGGGTACTGTCCATACATCCCTTGCCGGGGCCGTTTTGGGGATCAGTGAGAAAGCCCTCTGAACCCCCAAATATTCTGCAAATGCTGCTTGTTATTGTGATTCACCTTTGGGGCCTCCAGACATGAGCAGAGAATCTTCTCTCTGCCCCTCTGCCAGTCCTGGGGGGAATGGATGGGTAATCAGGGTGACCACTGTCCCCCAGAGCAGGTCACTGTGTCCATAGAGCTCCTGTTTCAATCACCCCTGAAGTGCCCATAGTAGGTTTCTTGTGGATCGAGGCCATGCGGTGGGAGAGCAGACCCCTGCCCCTCTCCTGCCAGGCCATTCAAAGCCAGGGCTTCCGATGTCTTCCGACAGGACCTGCAGGAGGTGCTGGAGAGTGAGCTGAGCGGGCATTTCAAGAAGACAGCCTTGGCGCTGCTGGACCGCCCCAGCGAGTACGATGCCCGGCAGCTGCAGAAGGCCATGAAGGGTCTGGGCACGGATGAGGCGATGCTCATCGAGGTCCTGTGCACAAGAACCAATAAGGTTAGTTCCAGCCAAGCCCTCGGCCCCGGCCCCGAGGGAGCACCCACGCACCCCTCGGAGATGGCAGCAGGAGGCAGAAGGGACACTGCACCCTTTGGGTGAGCAAGTGTCTGGGCAGAAATGTGCCCGCTTGGCCCATGCAGGAGAGATGCCTCTTCAATCCTCTGGCTGTCAGTCTTGGGGTTACTGCCACTGGCTTGACATAATAGATGCTTCCAGAAAGGCTGTACCAAAGCAGCCTTTGTTTTTCTAAACAGATGCACAGTTTTTTAAAAAAATATATATTTTACTGATTTTTTAGAGAGAGGAAGGGAGAGGGATAGAGAGTTAGAAACATCGATGAGAGAGAAACATCGATCAGCTGCCTCCTGCACACCTCCCCACCAGGGATGTGACCACAACCAAGGTACATGCCCTTGACCGGAATCAAACCTGGGACCCTTCAGTCTGCAGGCCAACGCTCTATCCACTGAGCCAAACCGGTTAAGGCCAGATGCACAGTTTTATATGCAGCAGGAAAGGCTCTGCTTCCTCCCTCCCAGCCCGACTTTGCAGGTCTCTGGAATGAATACTGTGATAAGCAGTCCAAGCATGTGTGGGCATACGGAGGCAGAGAGGTGGGTGGTGCAGGGGGACCCCAGGGCTGCCAGCCCCTCTCTGGAGGTTCCTGTGTCCTTCCATCTGCAGCCCTCTCCTCTGTCCCCTGGGCACATGCCACATTCCAGCAGCTGAAAAGAGCATTTGCTAAGGCCCCAAGAGAAGCCCATTCATCTTAGGTTCCAGAAGCCACAAGGATAAAGAGGGTCTAAAATCATTATTTGGAGACACCCCTCCCTCTTCCACAACCACCCATCGCAGTAAACTGGGGAGGCCCAGCAAGAAAATGGCAGAAAATCCCAACAGTCGTGAGGCCTCCGGGTAGGAACCAGGAGCAGTGGTTGGAGCAGGAAGCAACAGAGCTTTGCCACTAAAAGGCCCTTTAAGCCTTGCGTGCCCACGACCCTGAGCTGGTGGCTTCTGCTGGGCCTGGGCTGTCCGACTGCGTTCCAGAAGCGCCACCATGCTCCAAAACCCTCTCCGGAGCTTGCCTGGACTTCCTCACTTCCCACGAGATAATAAAAACCCTCCGTTTCTGGGAGTTTCCATCTAAAATTGTGCCTTAGAGGAGGGTTAGCAAAGGGCAGTGGCATCTGTTCAGCCCAACAGTCACACAACTTTCCCTCCTCAATGGTCTCCCCGCTGCAGGAGCACCACAGTCCCCTCGAGCGTCCAAGATCAGGGCACTCGGCAGCCTGCCTTGGCCGGAGGTTACTTTGAGGAGTAGTTTTCTAATCCTACTTGACCATATGCTGTTCCCTCTCAGCCTAGTTCCTTACAGGTCCTGGTCTCAAACAACAAGCAAAGCCCCTTATTGTCAATCAAGTAGGTCTGACAGTAAAAAGAAGGAAAGCAGAGAGAGAGAGAGCAGGCCCCGGGTTCAGGCAGATCCAGGTACTGGGTGGGAAGGAGGGGAAACGGAAGGGAGCTGCTTACCAGTGGTTCTCAACCTTCTGGCCCTTTAAATACAGTTCCTCATGTTGTGACCCAACCATAAAATTATTTTCATTGCTACTTCATAACTGTAATGTTGCTACTGTTATGAATCGTAATGTAAATATCTGATATGCAGGATGGTCTTAGGCGACCCCTGTGAAAGGGTCGTTTGACCGCCAAAGGGGTCGCGACCCACAGGTTGAGAACCGCTGGCTTAGACACAAGTGGGCCCCCTACCCCCCATCTACCTCCCCTCCCACCCACAAAAGCACAGGAGCCAGGCTTCTCATTGCTATTGCCCACCTACCCCACCCACCACCCATCACTGCATGCTGACTTTCATTTTAAACAGCCTGCAGGTGATACTGTGCAGAAATGCCTGGCACCCACTGCTGCTTCAAGTGTAAACTGAGGCAGCGCCTGAGTGGATCCCCTGGCACCAGCCATTGAAATATAAAGCAACTGTCTCAGGACACACCCTGTACACAAACACATACTCTTGCACACAACAAATTGTCTACTGAATAAAGCCTTGTTTGAAGTAGGGAACAATCGGAAACAACTTAAATGTCCATCAACTGGAGGCTGGCCAAACAAACTGTGGTTTATCGCAGGAAGGAACCTTTTACGTCCATTTAGAAAACATTGGGTAACTGTATAAGCATAGCTGGATCTCCAAGGTATATTACTGAGCGAAAAAAATAACTTAAAGCACCATATGTTCAGTATTCCACTTTTAAAACACATCCACAAAACGATTCTATATATTTTCAGTAGCACACACACACACACACACACACACACACATATATGTTACAAAGGCAAAGAAAATTATTTGCAAAGATATGCACTGAACTTCCAACGCTGGCTACCTGGGTAGGGTTGGAGGTGTGAAGTGTGGTGAGGAGGTAATGAAAGACACTAGCTTAGCTATACCCCTTTCTAGAGCTAAGAAGAATGTTCGTATACCTTACTCGTGTGTCTAAAATGTTTGCACGGAAGGGGCCCCTCCATACCTCCCGGGATTTGCTCCAGGCCTACGCCTTGACCCATAGGTTGGCCCTCTTTGGAAGCATCCAGTGTCCAGAGACCAGTCCCGGACTCTTCCCTCTGTGTGTGTCTCTGTAGCTTATCCATTAACCTACCTCGGAGTATTGATGTTGTTTTTTTTATTATCTTTTCTAGGAAATCATCGCCATCAAAGAGGCCTACCAAAGGTGTAAGTAACCTTTCGTCTGATTTCAGATGAAGAATGTTCCTTTCAAAATGCCTGTGGGGAACTAAACCCTCTGCTTCTTCCTTCCTTTTTTCTTCTTCAAAAGTATTTGACAGGAGCCTTGAATCAGATGTCAAAGATGATACGAGTGGAAACCTAAAAAAGATTCTGGTGTCCCTGCTACAGGTAAGAAGAGCAAAGAGGTCTCCTGAGCTTTCTGAGGTTGGGAAACCGCCCTGGGCAACATGGTACCATGACGGGAAAAGGCCATGTAGTCAGTAAACATCTCCTTCTTTTATGAAAAGTGCTTCCCATGGATCATCAGCCCAGGCTGTCAGATCAGCTATTGTGAAATTATTCAATTGGGAATTTCCCCACAATAATAGTCTAGTCATTTGCAGTTTACAATCCCTTTTTGTTCATGAGTATCTCAGGTATTTTTAACGGGTCCACCGCAAGAACTTTTAAAACACGCAATATCTGACTATTCAGTCAGGGGCACTGACCTCTTTTCCCTTAGATTGTCAAACAAAAAAAATGACAACAACCAACACAACCATTAGCCATCTGGTATAAATGAATCAAAATTATACCTTTTTTTGCCAAATCAGCAGAAAATACTAGTATATTTTTCGGAGTGCTGCAGAGTTTTAGTAATTAGCTTATGTGCCATGAGATGAAGAAGGTTGAAAGTTGCCGAGTTACCTCATTGAGCCTCACCGCCTCCTTTTGTCAAAGAGGAAACTCAAGCTCAGAGAAGATGGGTAACCTGCCCGGGTTTACATAGAGTTAAGACCCAGCCCAGGAACCAGAACCAGACCATCTGACCCAAGCAGGGCCCTTTTCACAACACAACTCTGTCTCCCTGTAAGAACCCTGCAGGGAGCTTGGCCAGGAAAGTGGGGCTTTCAGAGTTGGCCCTGCAAGGACACAGCTCCCAGCCAGGCCTCCAGCCAGACAGCATCTGTATCTCCTTGACAAATCCATCCTACGAGTTCTGTGCATTTCCTCTGCTCATGCCTCTCCATGTGGATAGACGGACTGCGGTAGGAAGTATATACGGGTTCTCCTGCTGTATAACAAATCGCCACAACCCTAGCAACTCAAAACAACACAGTTCTGTGATCTCCCCATTTTTACTGGTCAGGAATCCTGTTAAGGCCAGCAGAGTCCTTTGCTCAGGGTCTCTCCAGGCTGAGACCCTGGAGTCAGGCCAGGGCCACCATTTCATCTGAGGACCTGGATCCTCTTACTAGCTTACTGAAGCTTGGCAGGTTGGCAGGTTTCAGCTCCTTGTAGCTGTAGGACTGATGTCCCTGTTTCCTTGGTAGCTGCCAACCAGAGACCACTATCAGCTCCTTGAGGCCATCTGCAGTCCTTGTCAAAACAAATGCCCCCATAGACAGTTCAAAGTTGTTTTCTCCCAGGCCTGTAGGAGCTCATCTCTCTGACTTCTTCCATCTCTGACCTTTTAAGAACTCACCTGATTGGCTCAGACCCACCAGAACACTATCCCTTTTGATGATCTCAACTGGTTAGGGATCTTAATCACATCTGCAAACATCCCCTTTGCCTTGTTAACACAGCATAATCGAAGGAGTGCTATCTCATTACATTCACACATCTCGCCCACAGTTGAGGGAAAGGGATTATGCAAGGGTGAGGGCCACTGGGGTCATCTTAGAATTCTCTGCCACAAAGGGCTTAGGTTAGACCTCAAGACCTTCCATAGCCAACCTTCAGAATTCTTCAGGAGTGGGGCCCTCGGAGGCAAACTTCGATATTCTGACAGGAAGACTATTAACTTTCCAATAGACTGACCTTAGGGGACAGTGTGAGGGTGCTTTCAGCCTGCTTAAGAGGTCAGTGGGTTTATGAGTGACCTGATTCCTACAAAAAAAGAAAGAAAAAAAAAAGAAGAAGAGAAAAGAAAAAACAAGTGTTGTCCTAAAACTACTCTGTTTATCAGTTGTGCCCAAAAGATGGCAGCAAAGAGCAGCGCTTCACCAGGCTGACTCTCCCAGGCCACCCCTCTGAAACCATCCCATTCCCCCCTTTATTTTTTCTGTGCTCAGGCAGGAACACAAGTTCATAACAATGTGTCGATTTTTCTAGGCTAATCGTGATGAAGGAGATGATGTGGACAAAGATCTAGCTGGTCAGGATGCCAAAGAGCTGTATGATGTAAGTGGGCAGGCGTGCCAGTCTCGGCAACATCTTTCTGAAAATGTATTAGCCTTACTTCCAACAAACGTTTCTTTATTTCATGCACATGGGAGTTACTCAGGAAAAATGTATGATTTTTGAAATATTTTGTTATATTTACAGTCATCATGAACCTAAAGGAATAAGTCCTATTCTTATACTCGGGGGTTAACCACCTCAGATCCATTTTGTAACCAGGTGGGAGGGGGGAGGGGTGTAAATAATATAAACCATTAAGTCAAGTACACTCATGGGTTAGAAGCTTCAAGTGTTTAGTCAATCAATTTGGCTTCTATTCAAAGTATATTTTATCATTTCCTGTACGTGAGGCCTGGTCCCAACACTGTCTATTCAGTCTTTTTGCAAAGGCTTTTATGAAATGTTTGTGTTTGACTCCGGAGGCAGGGGAGGGCCGCTGGGGCACTGACGAACTTGCCTTCAATGACGTCCTGGCCAAGAGGAGCTACAAGCAGCTGCGGGCCACCTTTCAAGCCTATCAAATTGTGAGTGATCAAGCACCAGGGCAAGGAGTCACATTGAAACTGAGTCTTGCGTTATTTCTAAGAGAAGCCACCATCTGGAATATGGAACTGGGAGGTGGGGAGTTGTTTTACAACAGGGAGTTCTCAATCAGGGATCATTTTGCGCCCCCTCCCTCCCCAGGGATATTTGATAATGTCTGGAAACATTTGGGGTTGTTACTCTGTGTGCTACTAGCATCTAGTGCAGGGGTGGGCAGACTTTTTGACTCGAGGGCCACAATGGGTTCTTAAACTGGACCGGAGGGCCGGAACAAAAGCATGGATGGAGTGTTTGTGTGAACTAATATAAATTCAAAGTAAACAGCATTACATAAAAGGGTACGGTCTTTTTTTTTTTTTTTTTAGTTTTATTCATTTCAAACGGGCCGGATCCGGCCCACGGGCCGTAGTTTGCCCACGGCTGAGTGGGTCAAGGCCAGGATGCTGCTAAACATCTTACAATGCATAGGACAGTCCCCTACAACAAAGAATAGTCCAGCTCCAAAGGCCATGACAAGTCTGGGAAACGCTGCTTTATAAGGGAGGCTAGGAAAGCAGAGAAGTGTCAAGTTCAGGAGCAAAGCCCGAGAATCAGAGCGCACAGGTTCAGGTCCCGGATCTACCACTGGCAGGGGACCTACCCTCTCCATCCTCATTTGTAAAGCAGGAGCCACGATCCTCGCCAGTACACCTTCAGAGGGTTAACTCGTGAGCTACATAAGACAAACATAAAAGGCTCAGGACGGCACCTGGTAAGCGGTAAGCATACAGGCGTTCGCTGTTATTATCATTCTAATTTAAGTGCTTACCACCCCCAAGATGGATGTGATACACCTCAGAGCTACACTCCTGAAGAGATGTGTATAAATTATTTTTATACAATTAATTTTTCAATCTAATGAAAAGTTTAAGCCAACAAAGTGAAGTAGCTATTTTAGGCACTTAATGGTGAGTCTTTCCCCAAATAGCAGTCTTTAATTGCAAGAAGCCTCTTGGGGAGTATCAGAAGTTCGCTGGTCTCCTACTTTATATTGGTGGAGTGCTTTTAACTATTCAAAGCACTTCTGTGCCCTGTATCTCATTTCAATTTCACAACTATAACGTAACTATAATGTAGGCTGAGCAGCCATTGCTGCCCGTGACCGCTGGACAAGGAAAGGCTGCTGTGAGTCAGGAGCCATCTGTAACTGATCAGGACCACACAGCAAGTCGGTAGCAGAAAGTGGACGAGAACTCCAAGATTCCCCAGCCCGAGCTCCTACCTCGGCTGGAGCTGGCTGCTCCTCACTCGAAATAGTGTTTCCTGTGTGCTGCCAGCAGATGAAAAGACAATAAAGCTTCGGAATTTTATCATCACTGTATATAAGCCTTGAGGGCCTTCTGCTTTCAAATCGTGCCCAGAGACATGATCAAAGGCAGCTGACCCCACACTCCCAGGGCCTCTATGCCTGGAGCTGTGCAGACTGAGCTGAAAACCTTCTCTGTGACCTCGACCTTCTTCCCACATGACTGGGACCGTGGATAGAGGTTCTGGGATGGCTGTCATTGCCTGTGACTATAAAGGCACATACATGCGAGCGTGTGTGTGTGTGTGTGTGTGTGTGTAAACTACTAAGTACCTGAGTAAGGCTATTCTCTACCAATATTAATCCTGAAACAACAGCATCAAACCTACTTGAGAACTTGTTAAAAATAAGAGTTCTCAGTCCCCACCCTTGACCTACTAAGTCAGATTCTCTGGGGTCGGAGACTTATGGTCTGTATTTTAGCCCGTTAATTGCTGTAGCCAAAGCCATTTTGTAGGGTTCTGCTGTGGGCTCACTGTCAATTTGGAGGAATTGGTTTACATCCCTATTTTTCTAAAACTCTCCCTACCTGGTTAACTAGAAGCCTTTGAGGCTGGTCTGGAATTCACCCTCACAATGTGTTTTTATACTAAGATCAGACAACCTGGTTCTGTCCAAAGAGCCCCCTAAGAATTAAATGTTTCTGGAAATGAAAAGCTGGCCATTGAAAAGGAGAGTCACAGTTGCTTGGGCCCATCAATTGATTTTCATTTGTGTTCCATGGAGCCCCTGGAGGTGCCTTAGTAGCTACCAGGAGGGGTTTGGGACAGGGGGTACATAGAGAAGAGGGAGCAATGCCTTCTCATTGTTTTGTGTGAATAGCGCCCCCTGGAGTTGTGCTAAGAAGAGACCCCGAGTGGGCAGACCCTGGCATTATTGCCCAGGACTGGCAAAGGAATCCATCTCCTGCCTCCCAGAACGGCTCTGCTTTTCTGCTTTTATCTGTTGTGTAGGCTAAGCTTCTACAGCAAATGGAAAAGCACTGCCTGGCCCAGTATGAACAATAGAAACAGAAAGTGTTTTCATGCGAGGATTTGTTTAGTGAACACAGACCTGCATGAATACAATGTCCTCTTGAAACGCAATCTCAGTCTACAGAACAAGAACCCTATCCGTGGGAAAGTGATACCAGTCCCTCCTGAAATACCAGCTCCCACATCAACCCCCTAAAGGCTGGGGACAGCTAAGGAAAGGAGGGGACCGGAAGCCGCCAACAGGGTCTGCTTCCAGTCCTTTACACACACCCGACCACTCGGTGTGCGAACCACGGAGACCAAGCAACGGGGCGTCATTAAATCTGGGCCCTCCGCCCCCCACATCCATGGTGCTTGCATCACAAAGAATATTTTGTTGGCCTGCGTTTTCAGAATAAACTCCACAAACTCCACTGGCGTGTCCTCGGGGCCCCCATTATTTATAGAATCACAATTGTGTCATATCCTCTGAAGATAATTTCTAGGAAAGATGTTTCAGTATTTCAAATGCTTAGACAAGTTTCCCGAGCCCAACAAAAAGCCCTCCTTTCTCTTTATTGGCCTGCCCTGAACAGCCCAGCCACCCAGCCGATACTTGGTTAAGCACAGTCATACTTTACTCTGAACTTCAGCTTCTGTAAATATTTGGAAAGAAACCTAACATGTAATGCTGTGCAGAGCGATATGCGAGCTGGTGGTGAATATAGGACCATTTGGAATCACCCCAGAATGAAGGAAAGTGGCATTTTGATGTGGTCAGCTCACCCTCCTTCTAGCCCCTGCAGCCCCACTCTATCAGAAACATTAGACCAAGTTCTTCCCAGGAATTTCACAGCCGCTACTTATTTCACCCAAATTGTAGGAGACTGAGTCCCCAGTCCCAGGACAAAGGAGACGAGGAAGGTGTGGGTCAGATGATTACAACCACAGCCTTCTAGAAATTAGAATCTCTAATTCCTAGAAAATTAGAAATGGAATTTAAAAAAAACACATAGGAAACTCAGTACTATGTATAAACAAACATAAAGAATTATTGATACTGTACAATACATGTTCATTATTCTTCCATCCCCTGACTTTGCAGAGGAGGACATTGGGGCTCAGGGTGGGGTCCTGACTGGGCTCAAATCCATTAGGGGTCAAATCTGGACTAACTCCTCAGCCACGAGAGCTCCACTCAAGTGGGGGCAACCACCTTCAGCCCCGCAAACCACGAGGCCAGACAGGAGTTCCTTAAGGCCGCGTCACCAAATCTGGGAGAGCTTAGTGCTTTCTGTGGAGGAAGGGCCCCAAGTGCATCCAAAGCAAAACCTGAACTAATGGTTGGACTTTGTCTCTCCAGCTCATCGGTAAAGACATCGAAGAGGCCATTGAAGCCGAGACGTCGGGAGATCTGCAGAAGGCCTACTTGACCCTCGGTAAAGCAGAGCCAGGCGGGTCCCTGACACAGGCTGGGCTGCCTGGAGACAGACTCGGGGACGGAGCTTTGTGAGCAGGAAGCTTTCATAGGATAGTTTGGGAACAACATCTCCAGGCAGCACTGGGCAAGGCAGGGAATGAAGGTGATACAGTTTGAACAGGAGCTTTGCTGGTCCCCAAGGAGTCCTGAAGCTGGAAGGTCCAAAGTGGAGGCAAGGGGGCCCGCACATCAAGCAGCCGGCTGGTGGCAGCCCAGGAGCACTTGCAAGCTTAGGTGAGGCTGCTCCCTCCTTGAAGGACAATTCCTTGGAAGGGACTCAGCTGTGAGAAGCCAGCAGGCAACACTTGGACTGAGTGCCTTTGTCCTGAAGAGGTCATCTGGGAACACACCAAGGCATTCACGACAGTCCCACTAAGGCTGCAGGTCCCTGAGAGCATCTGTCAACAGCCTGGGACCATTGTTCAGTCTCAGGGAATGGTATGCAGTTCATACGACACACACTCCAAAGCATCCAGGTTCTGGATTCACGAACAGGTTGCTGCACATGCCTGATGGCTCGAGGGTGTCCTTTTCCATTTGGTTCCCTTCAACACTGGGGATGAATGAGGTCCTTTAAGAAAGAGTTGGGAGGGAGACCAGATCTTGACCGTGCCAAGCAGGCACCAGAACCTTCTCTCCAGGGGTAGCCCAGAGGCAGGAAATAGCAGAGAGAGATGGGCATGGGCTGTGTCTGGCAGGCTCCTTTTTCCTTTTTGCAAGCCCTGGAATGAAGGCATTGTCCATTGTCCACACTCCTGTGGCAAGGAGTCCAGGGCACCATCCCAAATGGCACACGAAATGGAGAGGTGTTTCCCCAGAAGAGGAAGAACCAAGAAAGCAGCCCTGGAAGTTAAAAAATGTGCTCCAACTGCCAGGCCTTCTCTCCTCTTTCTTTCTTTTCTTTCTCCCCGCCGGCTTCCCCTGCCACTATTTTTTTAAATGTCAGCAATTGATTTTTAAAAAATCCATCCTCATTTTGCATTCAAATGAGCAGGATTTCTATTGTGATGTACAGAGGCCTGAAAGCCCTGAACTCTACTGAATGTACATGGTCGACTGTCCTTAGGACTCAAAGAATGAGTGTCTTAAGTAAGTGGAGAGACTTACTCATAGCCCAGCTAAGAGGCTCTAAACCCTTCCTGTGCTTACAGTGCAGAGAATCAGGAAAACTCCAGTCAAAAGAGTAAGATTAATCTTCACGAATATTAATTATTGATGAATAAAACCCTTATTAATATTAATGGTAATAAAACCATTCAATTCTTTAACCCGTGCTTAGCACCTGCCTGGGCCAGGGGTCCTGCCAGGTGTGGGGATCGGTGGTAAATAGGTCCACATTCTGCTCTTAAGAAGCTTCCAGTTTATGGCAGATGCACACAAATCAACCGAGTAGGCGACAGCAATGACAAACAAACACAGCCCGAGTGAGGCAGGTCAGAGGCGGGAGAGGCTCAGGCCCTGTAGTTGGGAGCATGAAACCAGGACATAGGTGTCCTCCATTGTAGCCAACATAAAAGCGGCTGGGAAAGACCTGGAGAAGAAACCACACAGTAGACAGACATGACTTCATGACTACATTTTCTAGACAGTCCTCTCATCCCATACTCCCACCCATCTCATACAGATGCCGGTTTATGGCTAAAGTCAAGGAGGAGGGGCTGTGAGACCAAATGACTCCCCCGACAGTGTGAAAATCCAGTTTTCTGGGCCCACTGCAGGTTACCCACTTAGACCCTCTAGCAACGGAGCCTGGAAGCTACACTTTGACAGGATCCCCGAGGGCCTCGCTTATGCTGCCTGGAGTGTGAGAACACCTGCTCTGACATAAGAAGGAGCAGGAGGCAGCCTTGGGGTGGAGCGGCTGCCCGGGCTTTCACTTGTTATTCACATCGCTTTCCTAGCAAGCCCCATCCAAACTTCTGAGGGATCTGCGCCACCGCTAAGGACGGAGGTTGTTACCAAGCATAGATTATCTACAGAAGAAAAGCTGAGAATGTTCTCCCCAAAATATCAGGAAGACGGAATGCCAAGGGAAAAGACACCTGTATAGAGCATGTGGACATTAGGCAGACAGACATGTCACCATCACTTAGTACCACACAGTTGACGGTCTTCAGGAAGAGACTGTGAGGGCACTAGCTCAGAATGTCTAGGGATCGCAGAGTCCCAAACATGCTACTCCCCAAATCGACAGGTTCCCCTCACAACCACCACCGCCAACTCAGTAGCTTTTAGATTGTTCTCAGGCTAAAGAGGACAGACAACTGGGTCTGGGTTTTTCTTGTCCATCGACACTCTGATGGCTGACACATGTCCTACAAAAGTAGAAGACAGACCCCCAACTTGGACTTTGCTTCCCTAATCCCATTCCTCTCTCTTCCTCATAAGCATCCAACACTTGGGCAATGACCTAGAAAACGAGAGTTTCCATTAAGGACATCTGAAGGCTGTGCAGTACAGGCATATGCTGAAGTTATTACTTGTTATCAATCACTAACATAAAAAACATGACGTGTTCCAGGTAAATGTCAACAACCTAAAGAGGAAATGGCTCATTTCCCCCAAAGTGTTAGTCAATAGGGGCCCATAGGAGCCTGGGAGGAGGGGAGAAAAGAATGACTGATCCCCAGAGGTGCATCCTATCTCCTACTTGGTGAGTCAAACCCATGCCTCATTAATGTGTGGATCAGATCAAAGCCGGCGGGCAGGGAGAGGGCCAGATGAGAGCAACTAGCAGCATCCTAGGAAGGTGACCCGTAGGCAAGATCGAACATTTCATCAAGCCCACATCCCAGACCGCAAACTAAGAGGAGAGTGGAGAACTTGGAAAAGATCCAGAGATGAGACTCACAGAACAAACCCAGGGAAGAAAAACAAAGGGAAGGAAGGTTGTTTAGCACAGGAAAGTCAGCTGCAGGCCAACCGAGGGAATCTCCAACATCATGAAGTTGTGTTATAGCAAGGTTGCCGGTCCATCTGTTTCCTCTCGGGACCCAACTCCAATGTCAGAGATTTCAATGAGATGGGAAGCTATTGCTGCTGGTGAGAAGCATGAACTTTGTAGCGAGAGCCTGAGCATGCCAAGCGTCTTTGGGGATCAGGGGGGTTCTTATTTGTCAGAAGGGGTTTTGACTGGGTTCTGGTTGAAGCATCCAGGTGCACTGACCTGGGGAATCTTCCAGATCCCATGATATAACAGAATGGAGTTCGCTCCTTTCTAACACCTGCTCCATAATCCAGTTGCCTCCAAGGGTGGGAGGTGACACTCTGGCCATCTCTGTTCCTTCCATGTTATTCAACCAAATGTGACTGCCTCATGTTCTCTTTTCCCTCACCCGCCAGTGAGGTGTGCCCGCGACCAGGAGGGCTATTTTGCTGAGCGTCTGTACAAGGCCATGAAGGGTGTGGGGACCGATGAGGAGACACTAATTCACATCTTTGTGACCAGGGCTGAGGTAAGACACACTCAACTCCAAAGTAGCAGGCTGCAACTTCTCTTTTTGCCATCATGTCATCAACAAATCATTTTTACTAAGGGCCTATTTACAGAAAAAGTAAAACAAAGACATCCTTTGTGTTCTGGGCTCTGAAAGATCTTGTGCTATGCCTCAACCTGTCGCTTTTTGTAAACATACAATACGGACAGCCGCTTCTATTTTTGTCATCTGTGGCTCCAGAAAACTCGCGTAGTGTGCAAAGGGGACCTGGTGGAGCCCTGGGCAGTGCAGCTAGGCTCCGTCCCATTTCGTGGAAGGCAAAACTGAGACACTGAAAGGTTAGCAATGGCCTAGGTCACCCAGCAGTACAGACAATGAGCAAACGATTTCCTAACTCCTGAGCTAGGCCTTCATTTAATGAGCAGAAGCCCGATTTTGCACAAGAAACACCTCAGTACAATATTTCTCAACTTTTTTAAAATTATCAATCGCCCCACTAAGGAGTCTTTTTGGACCCATTTTTTTCCTAATTGCTCCTCTTCCCCCCCTCCCCCCCCCCCCCCCCGTCAAGAAATGTCAACACCACAAATACACTGTATACTTATTTATGTTCCATTTATAGGTACTTTTACATAAAAAAAAAAATGAGTTTTTTTTGTCCTGTAAGAACCACTTTTTGCCCTGGTAGGAACGATACTGTACCCCTTGAGAATGAATGCATGGCAAGAAAGGGACAGAGAAAGCAACAGGGGGATGAGTAGCCCAAAGCTTGGGAGCAGCTGTCAGGATTCATAGCAAATGCTTTGGAATATAGAGCCACACACAGAAGAAATGACAAAATTATGGGAAACGCATTTCAGCTGCAGTAGGAGAAGCCTTGGAGAATGAAGTAACTGAGCACTTGAAAACCACAGGCATCTTCCCTCAAGAAATTGTTAAATGGAGGGGGAAGGATACCAACCCAAATTCTGGCCCACAGCTTTTGACAAATAATACTTAACATCTAACCCTGTTGTTTTTAAGTATAGCTTAGCAACAAGACTGTTCTTTCGTTTTTAGTTCTATTCCTGGAATTTCTCCTCCCCCTCTTTCTCCTCCTCCTTCTCCCCTATTCATAGTTTTCTTTCTCTCTTAAAGTCCATGCTTCTCTCTCCTCCCTCTTCCCCTTCTTCTGTCTCTCTGCCCCTCTCCAGCAGTCCTCATTCTCTCCTCCTGGCTCCAAATCTCTCCCTTTCCCTTACCTCTCCAGGTCTCTGTCTTCTCCGTCTCTCTGTCTCTTAGCAACTCAACCCCCCCAACCAAAGTCTTGAGGCACTCGAAGGAGCAGGCAGGTGGAGAGCAGGGCAGGGATTCTACAAGACCCCAGGGGAACAATGGGTCCGGAGGGCTCCTCAGGATTCCATGTCCATTCCAACACGGGCTATGGAGTGTTCATTCCAAGATGCTCGGCCATCTCAGTACTGACCATGTCCTGGGTCATCTCCACATGTGGACCATTCCCTCAGAATGATTCAGGTCCTTGCCTGGCGGGTGCTGTGCAATGATTGAGCATCGACCTATGAACCAGGAGGTCACGGTTCGATTCCCAGTCAAGGCACATGCTGGGTTGCAGGCCCAGTTCCCAGTAGGGGCCTGCAGGAGGCAGCCGGTCAATGATTCTCTCTCATCATTGATGTTTCTATCTCTCTCTCTTTTCCTCTCTGAAATCAATATAAATATATATCTCCAAAAAGAATGCTTCAGGCCCAGCCAGATATAGTTAGCCAGAACCACTAACCCCCCAAAGCATTATGGTACAAGAACAGAGCCACAGTGTGCCCTCACCCCCCCTTTCCTGTTCTCCCCCCCCCCCCCCCCCCCCCCAGCCAAGCAGTGCACAAGCCAAGGGAGCAAGGAGATAGACACCACCTGCCTGCTCCAGGATCTCTGCTGCTCAGCACCCACTTCAAACAATTCCTCACTCACCCCCCTTCTCCTCTTGTTCAGCTCTCTAGTTGGGGCAGGAGTCAAAAGAATCATAACTTGAGTGATGGTTTGTAGGTCTGTCTAGAAAGCAAAATAGAGTTTAAATTAAAAAGTTAAGGGGGGGAAAAAGCAACAAAACTGCTTAAAGACAGTGCTGTCCTTCTTTTATGAGGCTCACTATGTTCCATCTGGAATTATGTCTTTTCTACGACAAGTGTTCTCTCCCTTCCTAGGCTGTAAGTCTTTAGAGCAGAACAATCTTTTAATTTGTTTTTCTTGAGTCCTCTCCCCACTTTTACCACCTAGGTTTTCAAGCTTCCAATGAATTAGATTCAAAATAAGTCCTACAAGTGGATTTGAGTTTTGTTGACTGGCACCAATGCCCTTGCTGATCAGGGTACAAAAGGAAAAGAGGTTTCATGTCAAATCTCTGCCTTTTGCCCAGTGCTGCTACCTAAGAATGGGTTATTTTTAAATAACTGTAAAAATTTCAAAAGAAAAGTAAAATTTTGCAACATATAAAAATCATATGAAATTCAAGCTGTAGTGTCCATGAAGTTTTACTGGAATATACACACATACACACATAGACACCTCTGCAACCTTTGGGGAGCTGAACTCAGTTTTCCCTTTCTCATCCACAAATAGGACGAATAATAGCCCCCACTTCTGAAGGTTGCTTTGAGGCACAAATGAGCAAAGGAGAATAACATGCCTCGCAGAGTGCTGCTGCATTTATGGTGAGCACGCTGTAAATGCCGTCTCCATTGCTCTTGTCTTCTCTCCTACAGGTTGACCTTCAGGGGATAAAAGCTAAGTTCCAAGAGAAGTATCAGAAGTCCCTCTCTGACATGGTTCGCTCGGACACCTCTGGGGACTTCCGGAAACTGCTGGTAGCCCTCTTGCACTGAACCAAGCCAGAGCGGTAGGAACACAGGGAGGAACCATCTTTGTCAAGAGCCTGTTCCAAACAAGATTTGCAAATGTGACTCCAGCACGAAAAGCCTTCAAGAATCCTGGTTTACTTTCTTGGCAGCTTCAGCAGTGCAGCCAGGCCAGGCTGTTTAAGTCAAAGACAGCAGCCTCGAGATGCTTGAGCAGGTCACCCTTGAACACTAGCTTAGCAAGGGTCTGGGCTGCCTCTTAACTTTCCTTTAGCATGGTAACTGAATGCTTTATACGCACAAATGAAATCAGCAGGTGATGAAAATAATTCTCCATTTGTGGTGGTAAAAAATTTAGAAGAATATATATCGCACAGGGGTATGTGTGTTCTGGGTAAAGATTGAATGATTAAGGTACAGGAAAGACAAAATTAACCAATTCATTAATTTTCCTTCTGTGTGTTCAATTTCAAAGCCTCAATGTTAATTAAAGTTGTGGATTATGCTTTCATCAGCTGCTTTTACTAAGACTGGGTTGATTAATTTTGGCTCTTGTCCTAGAAATATGTGCCTCGTGAAACTCAAACATATTTGGGGAAATGCAAACAGTTTTATTTATTACTAATCACCAAGGATAGTCATCAAGGCCGGCAGCAAGGAAACAATTGACTTGCCTATGAGAAATATAACTAGAGGTAAAATCTACTAATCTGTTACCTGGTTTAAATGGGTTTTCTTGCTTCTGTAGACATTTGAGCCACTTGAGTCTTCCATCTGATCTTCAAATACAATTAGGCTGGGCACAGTGCCAATAGGATCAAGGTCAATGAGCTGATGCTTAAATGGATTGGTTCCGCACCAATAGCATCTCTGTTCCAAGATGTTTGTCTCACGTGGCTACATGTTGCTAGACACAGAGGGGCCTGTCAAAAGAACATGGGCACTTTGACCCAACAATTATAGTTATCATTCATTGGATAAGTATTTGTGTCTGGCACTGCTAAGTAGCATACTTTCATATGTAATCTTCTTAATAGTCCCATGAGGTTAATATTACTATTTATCAGTTGAGGAAACTGAGACATTAAATAACCTGGCTAAATTCATTTGCAAGTGATAGGGCTGGTTGAGTTCAGAAATTATACGACTAACTGCTTTTCTTGGAAAAATAACACAAAGTAACGGGTCTGTATTCATTCACCTGTTTAATTCCCTACTACCTTCCAATCACTATGCTGGGCTCTGGGGATACAAAGATAAGTAAGTAGAACACTGGCCATGCCTTGGGCAGTTCATTCCCTGGTCAGTAATAGAGACAGATGCCTCCGATATTCAACAGAATGCTGTAAGTGCATGAATACAGGCATGTAAAGCTCTCTACCCATGAGCAGAAGAGGGGACAGGCAGCTCTGCCTGGGGTAACTTGGGAACATTTCAAAGGGATACACTTGTGTTGGGTTTTGAAGAAAGTATAGAAGGTCTCCAGAGAAACAGAGAAAGAAGGGCTTGGGCAGAGGCTCAGAAGCATCAAGGAACTCAATTGTTCAGGAGGCAATGATATCCTTTCTCCTGAGGCATGGATATGGCGAAAGGAAGGGAAGGGTTGGGGAGGCAACAATGCAGCTGCCAGAGTTTTCTTGAATCCCATTAGCCATGGTTTTGCCTGCCAAGTGTGGGCCTGGGCCTTGGGGCAATGGCGCCGTTTAAGTGAGGAACACTGGGCTTTGGGAAATCACTCTGGGTGCGTAATCAACAACATACAGCAGATAGTCCAAACACTCAGTATAGGAATACATGTCATGGTGTGTCTTTCTAGTGGCTATACCACGGTGATTAACAAATTAAGAAGTTATGTTCACATTCATGTTCTCAATATAATGAACAATGTAATGTGTCTCTGCCCTGCAGATGGGGTCTGGCTTCTCCAACAGCAAGACACCAATGCACAGGATTCCTCCAGGCTGCAAACAAACTGTCTCACACCACATTACAGCCAATAAAAATGCCTCAGATAAGCTCCCAGAATCTAGATAAGCCAAGAAATGAGGGTGCCATAAAACTAGATGTGGTATTCAGCTCTCTGTATCAACAAGCGAGAGCTGCCATGTTCAATTTAGAGAGATCAGAGAGAGGTCCAGGCTGCATGTTTATGCCACTGCAATTTCTTGCGTGACCAGGCCATAGGGTGCAGACCAGAATGTGGGAGACACAGGATCAGGAGAAACAAAAGAAGTGGCCAGGGAGAATATTTCAAAATAAACTTCTATTTTTTTTTTTGTCTTATTTCTGTAAATTTTAGATTTATAGAAAAGTTGTAATGAGAGTTTCCCATATACCCTACTCCCAGTTTCCCTAACATTAATATGGTACATTTGTCATGACTTATGAACTACTGATAGATTATAACTGAGTAAAGCCCACACTTTATTTGCATTTCCCTAGTTTTTACTTAATGTTGTTTTTCTGTCCCAGGTTCCCATGAGAATATCACATTACATTTAGTTGTAATGTCTCTTTAGGCTCCTCTGGACTGTAACACTTTCATAGGCTTTCCTTTGATTTTGTTGACCTGGGCAAGTTTTCTGTGGACTGTCCTTTAGGCTGGATCTGTACGATGCTTTTCTCATGGTTAGACTGGGGCTATGGGTTTTGGGGAGGAAGATCACAGAGGTGAAGTGCCATTCCCATCATATCAAGGGGACATGCTGTTAACACGATGTTGATCACCTGGCTCAGGCAGTGTTGGTCAGGTATCTCCACTGTACTCATTAAAAGGAAGTCACTGTGTACTGCCCACACTTCAGAGTTAGGGAGGTATGGTCCACTTCTGTGAGTGGAGAATTTTACATAAATTATTTTGGATTCTTCTGTATAGGAGGTTTGCCTGTTCTTCCTTTATTCATCTACTCAATAATTTATTTATATCAGTATAGATTTTGTACTTTGGATTTAATCCAATACTATATTATTTACTTTGTTGCTCAAATTGTTCCAGCTTTGTCTATTGGTAGCTCTTACAGTTGGTTCCTATGCCCCTTCAATAGACCCCTTCACTTGGCTTTTGTGTATTTCTTTAATTTCTGGCACTACAAGATGTTCCAGGTCCATCTTGCATATTCTCTTCCCAAGTCCTACAATCTGCCATTTGTCCACAGTGCCCTGGTTCCTTTTATTGGATAACTAGAGGCCCGATGCATGAAAATTCATGCACTGGGGGGGGGGGGGTCCCCTCAGCCTGGCCTGCCCCCTCTCACAGTCCGGGAACCCTCAGGGGCAGGAGGCAACCCGGTGATCAGGGGAAGGCGACCCCCCATCACACCTCTGCTGCTGCCACTGCCAGCAGTGCAAGTCTTGGTCAGTCCTGGTTACCTGAGCCTCAGGCAGCCCTGGGTGGCTGGGCAGCCGCCATCTGAGGCTTGCCTGCGCCTCAGGCCGGCCCTGGGGGGCTGGGGGGCTGAGGGGACTGGGGAACTCCAGAGGTAGGCATGCAGAGTGGCCAGGCCTGCCACTCCGGTAGGGCTGAGGGGACTGGGCACCGCCATCTTTGTAGCTGTGGGCATGGCAGTCAATTAGCATATTCCCTCCTTATTGGCTGTGGGCACCGCCATATTTGTGCTGGCATGAGGGTCAATTAGCATATTCCCTCTTTATTAGATAGGATGGTATTAGAAACCAAGATCTGGATACTGGGTGTGCTCATGGCTACTGGAGTGTCATAGCTTCTAGGCCAGCCATGGGCAAACTACGGCCCGCGGGCCGGATCTGTTTGAAATGAATAAAACTAAAAAAATAAAAGACCGTACCCTTTTATGTAATGATGTTTACTTTGAATTTATATTAGTTCACACAAACACTCCATCCATGCTTTTGTTCCGGCCCTCCGGTCCAGTTTAAGAACCCATTGTGACCCTTGAGTCAAAAAGTTTGCCCACCCCTGTTCTAGGCCCACTTAGTGGACAGAACTAGGAAATATAGGTGTATATACTAAGACATGTATCAAATGTCTATATTTGTACATATATTTAGACAGATGACATAGATATAGGTGTAGATGTAGATAGAGATGTAAGTACAGATACAGACAGATCCATTTGAATCTATATTAAATTAGACATGAGTTCATATGAGGTCTTCAAGTTTCATCCAGTACCACCTGATTCATGCTAGAAGGGGGTTTTGACTTCTTGAAATGGCACAAACAAGATAGTAGAAAGAAAGCTCCTAGCAAAAGGAGCCATGCAAACCACACAGTGCCCTGTATGTGCCACTGATTACATTTCCATTTTGAATGGCAGATTTAGTCCTCGGTCTGGGGAGAAGGGGAAGGCCATGGTTGAGTGGTTCTCAGACCTCCACTACCTAGTACCCAAGGAATTGTCCTTAGGTTTCGAAGAGAATGCTCCATGACTTCTTTGTGACTAAACCAGAAATACTGATGTCTTCAGTTCCTAAGATAACCAACTTTCAGAGAGCTCAAAATATGTTTAGCCAAGACTCATACCATGTAAGGGAAGAGAAAACCAAGACCACCTTCAGTGTCAGAATCAAGACAGTGGGTTTTCATGTCAGTCTCTTCCTGTTCATCTTTTTTGGTCCCCAATAAATGTCACTTCAGGATTGCTTAGAACAATGATATATCAGGACAAAAGAGGCCTGAGGTACTTTTAGACTAGAAGAAAAAAACATTGGTTTTGAATCATTTCTGACTATGAATAATGTGGACCCAGATAATATGACTCACAAACCAAAATGAACACACTAGTTGGCTAAACTCTGTACCCAACCCAAGTATTAACTTTTTTTTTTTTTTTTTACAATCAAAGTGGTTGTTTTTAAAATCCTACTGAACCAGTTCAAATCAGAACCAGTCTTTGGAAAAGGTTGAGCCAGAAGAAAAAATCATCAGAAAAGCAAAATCATTTCCAAACAAGTATTGCATTCACTTCAAGTGTCTGGCACATGCAAATATGAATTGTGTGTGTATTTCTATTAGTAGGACCACTTTTAATTGAATTTTATTTAACCTACTTGACACATTAACCAACATGCCAGTCCTCTCTACAGATGCTCTGAAGGCTGGAGGGTGGTGTGGGACTGAGTAGGAAGTCCTCTCTCTCCTGGTAGCTCATGCATTTTGCAAGAGTGCATTGTGTTTATTCCAAAATCTGTTTATACATATTGCACTCACTATTGTAATTACATAATTTAATTAAATATTAAACAAGCTGATTAACCATAAATGCAAAACAAAGACTTCTTGTTTTTCTGAAAGCTAAATTGAATACCCCAGGAAGACTAGATAAAGATGTGCTACATTTAAAATAAGGATAGCCCGGCCAGTGTGGCTCAGTGGTTGAGCATCAACCTATGAATCAGGAGGTCACAGTTCAATTCCCAGTCAGGGCACATGCCCGGGTTACCAGCTCAATCCCCAGTAGAAGGCATGCAGGAGGTAGTCAATCAATG